GGTGCTTGTTATGAAACAGTCACAGGGACAAGGGAATAAAGGGACCCTGCTAGCTTTCTGCTTTGTAAAAAATATATATGTTTCGTAAATGCCAATTGACCTTTCCGCTTTCTATTTATGCAGAGGAAATGCCACCAGCTATTTTGGGTGATGCACAGATAAGACACACAAAGGAGAGTTATGGAAGTTAATTATTTAATGTATTTGGGCTGAGGCTGGAGCAAAAGCTCTGAGTCTATTATAAAGGAGTCCAGCCATCACAGTGAGCTCAGGATAAAGAAGGCTGAAACATTAAACAGTAGCTCAAGGGGAAAAGACACCCTACTCCTCTTTCAGGATAATGGGATCGCTAACTAATGTGTCAGAAGGAAATGGGGCCACGCCACCAAGATGATAAAAAAGCAAAAATGAAAAATGGGGGAAAGAAAAGCGCACGCACGCACGAGACAGACAGACAGACAGACAGAGACAGACAGACAGAGACAGCAACAGAGAGAGACAGGATGGAGAGAGGGGCAGGGGTAGACGCATAGTAAAGAACGTTTTAAAATGACCTGCCACAACCTACATAATTAAAAAATGAACTTAATTCCAGATGACTTGGATTCTAGACCCACTCTTGCCATTTACTGTGTGATGTGGGGCAAGTCATTCTTAGTTTCCTGCCTATGTCTGAAGATTGCTGTAAAGAACACGTAAAATAATGTAATAAGTTGAAGCACATGATATTGCCAGTGGAATTCCCTGTAATGTGGAGAAATGCTCTAAACCCTGTAAGATGCTCTCAACTTTGGAGGAAAAATCATGAACTTAATGGTCAGGCCGCCTGCCTTCCCATCATTATGGATTCATCCCTGAAGGCTTCTTAGGCTTCTTAGGCTTCTAAGATTCTTCTACCATGTGACACACCCCAAAAGGACAAACTTTCAGTCATTTTCAGCTAGCACTTGATTAAAAATTTGCTGACAGTTGACGAAGAGTTGAGAAGGCCATAAAGAAAGTAGCTCTGAAAAGGCAAGTGAGTGGGCCCTGGGGACCAGCCGCGCCTCCTGCACAATGCCTCAATGCACTTTGACATTTCATAACCTGCCTGTGTGACCCCAAAGTTAGCAGCTTTACCAGTACCCTTAGGAGTACCAGAACCATTAACATTTATGCAGAATTGAAAGCTTGACTCCAATAGAAATATTTTCAAAGTCCATCTGTAGATTTTGTTTGAAAGACAATCAACAGCTAGAGATTTTTTCTTTCCGAAACATTGTAGCTTTTTCCTGCTTTGAAAGATTGAAATTTTGGTTCCAATTCACCCCTCCCTGGACCCCAAACTATTCCC